TGAAGAACGAAAATATTTCTTTCTATCCTCAGTATTTAGAAAAAAAAATATCAACAGGCAGGAGAGATATGGGGAGAATAGATGTTTAAATATGTGAAGTAATCGTGACTGAAAGGTAAAGACAGCTAATGGAAATAGATTTCAGCTGAAAGAAAGAAAGAAAGAAAGAAAACAATGTGAAAGGAAAAGTTCATGAAAAAGAGGTCAAAGAAATTTCAAAGAAAAAAAGAAATAAAAGAAAAAAAGAAAGAAAAAATTATAATGGGGGGGGGCTAAAAGAACTTTTGTCGGTTCAAAGAAAGAAAGAAAGAAAGAAAGAAAAAAAAATAAATAAGGGATTAAGAAGAGGTTTTTGCCGGACCAAAGAAAGAAAGAAAGAAAAAAAAAAGAATAAAAAAGAAAGAAAAGAAAAAAAAAAAAAAAAAAAAATATTGTATAAAGATTTTTTAAAAAGATTTTTTTTTAAATATTCAAAGAAAGAAAGAAAGAAAAGAAAGAAATAAAAAAAAAGAAAGAAAGAAAGAAAAAAATTTTAAGGGGGGGGGCTAAGAAGAATTTTTGTCGGACTCAAAGATGTTTGAAAGAAAGAAAAGAAAGAAATAAATAAATTTTGAAAAAAAAAAAAAAGAAAAATTATTAAGAAGAACTTTTGTCGGAAAAGAAAAAAGAAAGAAAAAAGAAAAAAAAAAAAAGAAAGAAAAATAATAAGGAGAAAATAAAAAGAAGATAATCGAACTCATTTAAAAGAAAGAAAGAAAGAAAGAAAAGAAAGAAAGAAAAGAAAAAAAAAAAGAAAGAAAAAATATTATGTAAGGGGAAAAAAAAAGAAGAACTTTTAAAAACTATTTTAAAAAAAGAAAAAAAAAAAAAAGAAAGAAAGAAAGAAAGAAAGAAAAAAATAGAGAAAAAGGGGGGGCTAAAAAGAACTTTTTGTCGGACTCAAAGAAAAAAGAAAGAAAGAAAAAAAAAAAAAAAAGAAAGAAAAAAAAAAAAAAATATTAAAACATAAATATTTTTGATTTTTAAAAAACTCAAAAGAAAGAAAAAAGAAAGAAAGAAAAAATATAAAAGATATTTTATAGAAATTTTTTTTTCGGACAAAAAAAGAAAATAAAAAAAAAGAAATTAAAAGAAAGAAAAGAAAGAAAGAAAAAAAAATATTTAAAAAGAAAAAGGTATGAAAAAAAAAAGGTGACGGTTTCAAAGAAAGAAAAGAAAAAAAAAAGAAAAAAGGCAATGGGATAAAGGAAAGAAATTTAAAAAAAAAAATTTGACGGTTTCAAAGAAAAAAAAGAAATAAAAGAAAGAAAGAAAAGAAAAAAAGAAAGAAAGAAAGAAAGAAAAACATTATTTTGCAAAGAAAAAATAAAAAAAGAATTTTTAACGGTTTCAAAGAAAGAAAGAAAAAAGAAAGAAAGAAAGAAAGAAAGAAAGAAAGAAAGAAAGAAAAAAAAATAAAATTTAGGAAAGGAAAGGAAAAGAAAAAAAACATTTGATAGTTTTCAAAGAAAGAAAGAAAGAAAGAAAGAAAGAAAGAAAGAAAGAAAAAAAAAAAATATTGAAAAAAAGAAAGAAACAATTTTAAAATTTTGGTGACGGTTTCATTCAAAGAAAAAAAGAAAGAAAGAAAGAAAGAAAGAAAGAAAGAAAAAAAAAAAAAAATATTTGGAAATTTTTTTAATAAAGAAAAAGAAACATGACGGTTTCAAAAGAAAGAAAAAAGATTAAAAAGAAAAAAAAAAAAGAAAGAAAGAAAGAAAGAAAAGAAATGAAAGGAAAAAAAAAAAGATGACGGTGGAAAAGAAAAGAAAGAAAGAAAGAAAAGAAAAAAAAAAAAAAGAAAAGAAAGAAAATATAAGCAAAAAGAAAAAAAAAAAAAAGAAAAAATTTCAAAAAAAAAGAAAGAAAGAAAGATTGAAATTAAAAAGAAAGAAAAGAAAGAAAGAAAGAAAGAAAGAAAGAAAGAAAGAAATAAAGAAATATTAAAATAAATGAAGAAAGGAATCGCTAAAAAAAAGAATGACGGTTTCAAAGAAAAGAAATAAAAAATAGAAAGAAAGAAAAGAAATTTACGAAGTTCCTGTTAGAGAAATATGAGATGAAGAAATGTTAAGACAGAAGGAAAAGATTGAAAGGGAAATTTCAAAAAATTTAAAAAAATCATATAAATAAATATATAGAAAGAGAGAGAGAGAGATAAAGAGAGAAGATAAAAAATAAAAAAATTTAAAACCGAAGAGAAGTAATTAAAAAAAAAAAAGATCCTTGAGAGAAGGAGAGAGAATGAAAAATTCGGAAAAAAGAAAAGAGAGAGAGAGAGAGAGAGATTTTTATTACTAGAAAGATGATTAAACATGAGAGAAAAGAGATGGGAAAGATAGAAAATAAATGAGAAAAATAAATATATTATTAAAATTATTAATAATACAAAATTTTTTAAAAAGAAAGAATTTTTTAGAAGAGAGAGAGACAGACAGACAGACAGACAGACAGACAGACAGACAGACAGAAGAATGACGAAAACCGAAAAGATAGAGAGAAACAGAAAGTAGATGAAAGCCAGAGAACGAGAGAGAGAGAGAGAGAGAGAGACGGGAAGGGAGAAGGAAAAGGATAAGGAAATCAACAGGGAGAGAGAGAGAAAGATAGAGAATGAAGCAAAAAGAACATGAAAGTCTGGAAGACGAGAAAGAGAGATTAAGAAAGAGAAAAAAGAAAGTAAGAAAGATGATTCTTCAAAAGTTAGAAGAGAAAGAAACAGAGAGAAGAAAAAGAGAGAGAGAAAAGAGAAGAGAGAGAAAAAGAAAGAGAGAGAAGAAAAAAAGAGAGAGAAGAGAAAGAAATCTGATGAAAAGAGATTGAAAAAAAAAGAGAGAAAAATATTGAGAAGGAAAATGGAAAAAAGGAAAGGAAAAAAATTTTTTTTTAAAGAGAGAGAGAAGAGAGAAGAGAGAAAGAGAGAGAGAAAAAAGAGAAAAGAGAGAGAGAAAGAAAAAAGATGATGAAAAAAAGAGAAGAAAAAAAAGAAATGAGAAGGATTTAAAAAAGAGAGAGAGAAGCAAAAAAAATGAGAAGAGAGAGAGAGAAGGAGAAAGAGAAGAAAAAAAGAAAAGAGAGAGAGAGAAAGATGATGAAAGTCGGAAGAAAAAGAAAGAAAAGGGTGAGAAGGATGTTGGAAGAAAGAGAGAGAAGAGAAGAGAAAAAAAAAAGAAAAAGAGAAAAGAGATTGAGAAGAGAGAGAGAAAGAGAAAAAAGAAAGAGAAGAAAGAGACAGATAAAAAAAAAGAGATGAAACAGATGAAGAAAGAAAAAAAAGAGGGTGAGAAGGATGTTGGAAAAAAGAAAGAGAAAAAACAAAAAAGGAAAAAAGAGAAGAAAAGAGAGAGAAAGAGAGAGAGAAGAGAGAGAAAGAGAGAGAGAGAAAAGAAGAAAAGATGATAGAAAGAGAAAAAAGAGAGAAAGAAAGAAAGAACACAAAAAGAAAATGAGAAGGAGAGAAAGTTATTTTTAAAAATGAGAACAAAGAGAGAGAAAGAGAGAGAAAGTATCAGAGAGAGAGAAAGAGAGAGAGAGAGAGAGAGAGAGAGAGAAAAAAAATGATGAAAGAAAAGGAATTTTTATAAAAGAAAGAAGGGTGAGAAGGATGTTTCCATTTATTTAAAGAAAGAGGGAAGAAGAAAAAGAGATAAAGAGAACAAAGAGAGAGAAAGAAAGAGAGAGAAAGAGAGACAGAAAGAAAAGAGAAAGAGAGAGAAAAGAGAGAGAAAAGAAAAAAAAGATGAGAGAAATATTTTTTGTGTGAGAGAAAGAGGGTGAGAAGGATGTTGGAAGCCGGCGAAGGAGAGAAGAGTAAGTTTTTTTTTTAAAATGAGAAGAGAAAGAGAGAGAAAAGCGGACAGGTTATGAATGCCAAAAAGAAAGAAAGAAAAATGGAGAGAGAGAGAGAAACAAAGAGAGAGAAGCAGACAGATTATGAATGCCAAGAAGAGAGAGAAAGAGATAAAAAGAGAGTCAGAGGCAGAGAGAGAGCTAGCTAGTTAGATAGATAGATAGAGAGAGAGAGAGAGAAAGAGATGGTGGGCAAGGAAAAGCTGAAAGATAATGGAAGCCGGGGAGAGAAATTGAAATCGAGAAAAGTACGAAGGAAGAGAAATTACAAATGATAGACAACAACAACAACAAAAAAAAAAAATTGAACGTCCTGCAAAGTAACAGACAGAGACAAATGGAAAAAGAGTCAGAAAGACAAAAGGTCAAATAGAGAAAGAGAGCAATGCGAAAACGATAATAAACAAATAAACAAAGAAAGAAACAAATAAACAAAGAAAGAAAGAAACAAACAAAGAAAGAAAGAAACAAACAAACAAACAAGAAAGCATGCTGTGGTCTATGAAGATGACAGTTTAACAGATACGAAACGAACCGAGATCAATTATACAAAATGTACTTCAGCTCTGCATTAAGAGTACACTTATGAAAAGCAAGCCGAAATGTTGCAGACGAACGCGGCTTCTGACTAAAGTTGGACCGTAGCCAAGCGAAAAGAACACAGCATAGGGATTGCTGTTAGCGGATAAAAGAAATCCGTAAGTTTGATATTGCAAAATAAATAAATAAATAAATAAAAGTCTATGGGAGCCAGTGTTTCTTGACTTAAAAGCATCACAAGGAATCTAGATGCCAAGTGAAACGAGAGAAAAAAAAAAGTTTCTTTGCCAAAATCCAGATCGATGTCTTACAGGTTCAAATAAAGTCTTGACATATTTTGTTTATCGCAAAACCAGCCATTTTTCTTATTTTCAACACATTTCTACGTTTCGCTCTGCCTGTCTTGGTTCGTTTCGTTTCTTATACACTATTTGTTTTTAACTCATTATGGTGAATTTCTAAGCGTAAAAGTATAACGATTTTCTAAGCTTAGATATAGCACAAGGCCGAAAGAACGGGGTACCCATTGATTGAGGATCCAATTTACTATTCAGCTGTAATTAATCTAGCGAGACAAGCTTGCTAATCATTACCCCACGTCGAAGTGCCGTAAGTGATTTTTTCTAATCGTAGCTCCCATAAACTATAAGAAAACAGACTGCATGGTCATCAGTAAAAGGATGACCCCAAAATGTGATTTGCAGGTCGGGGACACTAAAATTAAACATATGCGGAAGTTTAAATATCTGGGAAGTGTTCTGACAGAGGACGGTAAATGTGACACTGAGATCCGAAGACGGATTGGGAAGGCCAAGGACGCATTCCAAAAGCTGGACAGAGGACTGAGAGATAGAAGGATTTCTTTGGTGACAAAGAAAAGAGTACTGAGTTGCTACGTGACATCTGTCCTCCTATACGGCATCGAATGTTGGACGATTTCCTCAAAGATGAAGAAGATACTCGAGGTGGTGGAGATGTGGTTCTACAGAAGGATGCTGAGGATATCATAGACCGAGCATGTGAGCAACGATGACGTCTTGGAGAGAATGTAAACAAGGAGGAAGCTGATGCTTAACATAAGGTAGAGGCAGATGAAATTTCTGGGACACGTGATGAGAATTTTTTTTTTGGAGAATCTGATACTCACAGGACGAAGAGAGGGAAAAAGAGACACGCATGACATACGTGACGGGCTTGGGCTGGTGGGTGGCGGAGCGTGGTCTGGGGGAGTTAGCAGAAACACAAAACCTGTTGAGAGCCAAAAGGGATAAGAGGAAGTGGAGGGTCATGATCGCTATGTCCTGAAAGGACACGGCATATAAAATGAACAAGCCCTGATATGGCACAAGGTCGAAAGATTGGGGCACCCGGTGAGGATCGAACACACTACTCAGTCGTAACTGATCTAGCGAGACATGCTTGGTATCCATGAAATCGTCGGTTATTTCAAATGATTCTCGAATAGCGTAACAAAACACAAAAAAGCACAAAAAGTGGCACTCAGTGAGGATCGAGCTCACTACTTAGTTGTAATTGCTCCATTGAGACAAACTTGCTAAGCATTACACTAAGTCGAAGTGTCCTAATGTTTTGCAAAGCGTAGCTTAATTGTGGCACAAGGCCGAACGTAGGGTGCACCCTGTGAGGATTTAACTCGCTATTCTGCCATAATTAATCTAGCAAGACAAGCTTGCTGACCATTAGATCACGGTGAAGTGTCATAATGATTTTCTAAGCATAGCTGAGATGTGGCACAAGGTCGAATATATGGGGCACCCAGTGAGGATCTAACTCACTATTCATTCGTAATTGATCTAGCGATACATGCTTGCTATCCATTACCCCACGTCGAAGCGCCCTAAAATGATTCTCGAAGCGTAGCTTACACGTAGCACAAAGCCGAAAGGAGTGGCACCCAGTGAGGATCGAACTCATTATTCAGTCGTAATTGATCTAGCGAGACAAGCTTGTTGACCATTACACCACCTGGAAATGCCCTAATGTCCCTAATATGTTTTCCTTTTCTACTAAATTTTCGTTTTGTGGTTATTTTTTTTGTTTTTTCTGATCTCTGTCCTTCAATAGACACACAGCCCAGTGGTTAGAACCGCAGTAATCCGACTATGATTCGCGAGTTCGAATTTCACTGTGATCGATTAGTCTAGTAAGTGCTTGCTACATTATATTGGTCTAGTGATCGAAAGTCTTCAGGAATGGTAAACAATTTAATTTTTTTCTCGACTGGCATAAGTGGAGCGACTCTTTCGAATCAATAGCATCGTCTGCTGCAAGGAATATTGGGTCAGTGTCATGCCAGAATTTTTTTTTCTAGTAAGAATCCATCTTGCACATTTATAAATCTACCATTCTTCTGTGCTTTGAATACTGCTGCCATATCTGATCTGGCACTCCCGCCACTCATCTCGAAGTTCTTGACAAAATCCAAAGAAGGATCTGCAATGTAATCGATCCTGACCAGGAATCTCGACTTTAGTCACTTTCTCACCAACGATAACATATGTTGTCACTTCTTTACATTAAGACACGCTTCGAGCAGATATGATCGTTCGAGAAAGATCGTGTTAAATTTGTTGTTTAGAAACAGTAATTTCGAATTTGTTAACCAAACGCTTCCTCTGTAGCTGAGTGGTGTAGCACACCAGATCAAATGACGATTCTGTGTAGGACAGAGGTCTGATTCTTGTTAGAGAACACATATTTTCTACGAAATTTCTCGGACATTCGAGCCGGTAAATGTAATTAATACTGTTTTTTTATAAACAGACATTTACTTCAATAATTGTATCTATAAAAAATAAGTATAAACAGAAAAAAATATATTAAAATAATTGTCGGATTTCATATTATATATATATATATATATATATATATATATATATATATATATATATATATATATAAATTAACTGATTTAAAATATGGTTTCTTAGCTACACAGGAATTACCATGTTTCAAAAGCCTGAAAAAAAACCCAAATTTAATTATATAATTAAATTAAAAGCATTAGTTCTGTTTCATCTTCAAGCGAATTTTGGAATAACTTATTTTTAAATTTACTGAGATTTAAACGCACATATAAATTCATAATTTCTTGTTTCCAAGGATACAGAGAAATCCAATCATTTAGACAGGCACGGTAGCGTGTTCATTTTTATTAAATATTATTGTATCAATTTTGAGTTACGTTCGAGAAAGAGGTTAAGTCTAGGGAGGGTAGGGGTGCATTTTTCAACGAATTTTGACATCCGTTCAACGCATGTCGTCTGCTTTTTTCTTTTTTTTTTATCAACGACAAAAAGGTTTTCGGCATTTTTTCCATTAAATTCGTACTTGTATACTTAAAGATTCTTTCTAAAAGGGTGTTTGGGTTAGAATACGTTATATTGAACTACAATTATAAAATATTATTTTTACTTATAATTTCTAATAAGCTATATTTCTTTATAAATCAAAAAACGTAAATGTGTAGCGAAGAAACCATATTTTAAATCAATCAATTTATAATATTAATGCTCTGCAAATTTACATTGAGCACTGTTTTCTAAAAATAAAAATATCAATAAGAACACCGGATTATATATCTTACTGCTTTTTCTTTTATATATATATATATATATATATATATATATATATATATATATATATATATATAAAAAAATGAACATAGTCTAACATTTAGAGGCGGCTGTCTGTTTAAGGCAGGATGCAATCGTGGCCTGAAGATGGCATAAAAAACAGACATGCCGCCTCTAAGTGTTGACTTCTATGTAATATTTTTATATTTACACACCCTCTATCTCTGATATTGAGCACTTTATCCCATAAATATAGCACATCTTAAGACTATATTTCTTCATATATATATATATATATATATATGTGTGTGTGTGTGTGTGTGTGTGTGTGTGTGTGTGTGTGTGTGTGTGTGTGTCTTAAGCTTTGTATGTTCATTCAACCATGTTTGGTTAAATAATTTAAATGTCTATTTATTTTAATTTTTAATCCGATTTTTTTTTTTACCAGGTGCCCCGACTACGTGAATTTAAGCGTGCTACTAGATTGGCATTTAGGTCCCACCAGTTGGCTGTTGAAACAGTTAAATGCAACCGCCTCTTCTACTCCAACAGTTTGCTGTCTCGCACTTCCCGTCTGTGGAACTCATTTCCGTTTACTTGCTTCCCTGATAACTACAATCTCCAAAAATTTAAATGCAACGTCAATCGCCATCTTCCGTCTTTTTAAATCCCGTTCGTTTTATATCCTTTTCATCAAACCTCACCCCCTATACCCAGTGTTTTCTCTCTCTCTCTCTCTCTCTCTGTAACCCCTCCCCCCCACCGGCTGCATACTAGTGGCATTTCCGCCTTACTTGGGGTGAAATGATTAAAAATTAAAAGATCGTTACCAGCTGCCACCCCGTCGCATTCTTTTTGGATTGACGTCTTGAAATCCTGACCTCTTTCCGGTGGGATTTGATTTTTTGGAAAGTCGGAAATGTCGCAAAGAACCAGATCTGGGGAATATGGTCGTTGATGAACCTGGCGTGATTTTGTCCTTGGCTAAAAAAAGACTGCTGCACAAGCCGGGGTCACTGTTAGAACCTCTGTGGTGTAGTGAGACGATCACATTCTAACCTTTTTTGTCATTCCAGGCACTGCTACAAACAATGGAAATGAGGATAAATTTGCTGTCTCGGCGTGCCAGAGTTCAAGGTCTAATCTGTGCCAAGCGGCTTCACTCTACGTACTTCAATCCAGTTACCCTAGAAACAATACACATATATTTTGATCGGACCCCGAATATAGGACCTTTTTGAATGATTAAAAGAAATTGCACAACGTGCAGAAGAAAGACAATAAATCTTTGCATAATACAAAATAATAATACGGAATGATAATGGAAAAGTTAAATTTTCAAGAGTTCGTGTGTAAAACTCCT